CTGGAATTTTTTTTACATAATTTTTTCACTAGTAATGGTGGCGATCAGCAAATAGCGGGACTGTGGCGGGCAGTCGCACACTGGGGGAAACTGACTTGGTGTCATTGATATCCCCAGTGACACCAATACAGTGATCAGTGGTGAAGGGGTTAACATGTGGGGCAATCAAAGGGTTAACTGTGTGCTGTGTGTGTTTCACTGTAAGCACACTGCTTTGTATTATTATTATTATACAGTGTTTATATAGCGCCAAAGGGTTTGCTCAGCGCTGTACATTAGAGTGGGGGGACAGAACATGAGACAATACAGTAACAATACAATACATAAGGGGTTCGAGGGCCCTGCTCTTTCGAGCTTACAATCTAGGAGGGAGGGGGTAGAGGTACAGGAGGAAGTGGCTGTGGGGGATGGAGTGGTAGGAGGAGTGGAGGAGATCGGCTGTTAGGTGAGGGTGGGGTAGGCTTCCCTGAAGAGATGGGTTTTCAGGGTGCGCCTGAAGGTGAGGAGGGTAGGTGACAGTCTGATGGATTGGGGTAGGGAGTTCCAGAGGATGGGGGGAAGTTCTGGAGAAGTCCTGCAGTGGGAAGAGGAGACCAGAGAGCTAGAGAGTAGGAGGTCTTGTGAGGAGCGAAGGGCACGGGTAGGGTGGCATTTGGGTATCAGGTCAGTGAGGTAGTTTGGGGCAGCGTTATGAATGGCTTTGTATGTCAGAGTTAGTAATTTGAATTTAATGCGTTGGGCAATCGGGAGCCAGTGAAGGGATTGGCAGAGGGGGGTGGCAGAAGTGGAGCGGTTGGTGAGGTGGATGAGTCTAGCCGCTGAGTTCAGGATAGACTGGAGCGGGGATAGCATTTGTTTGGGTAGGCCAGTGAGAAGGGAGTTGCAGTAGTCCAGGCGTGAGATAATGAGGGAGTGGAGTGTACGAGTTGTTTAGTAGTGTCTGGGGTGAGGAACGTATGTATCTTGGAGATGTTGGGGAGGTGGAGCCTGCATGACTTTGATAGTGATTGCACATGAGGTTGGAAGGAAAGGTTTGAGTCCAGGGTGACACCCAGGACTTTGGCGTGTGGGGTGGGATTGATGGTGGCTTGCTAGTCGTGATAGAGAGGATGGGGGGGAAGGGGGGGCGCGGGCTGGGGGGAAAACTAGGAGCTCGGTTTTGGAAAGGTTTAACTTGAGGAAATGGAGCAACAACCAGTCTGATATGTCGTTCAGGAGGTGGGCGATGCGGGCGGAGAGTGAGGGGGTGAGGTGAGGGGTGGAGAGGTAAATTTGTGTGTCGTCGGCATACAGGTGATAGTTGAAGCCGTGGGAGTGTATCAGTTTGCCAAGGGAGGAGGTGTAGATGGAGAAGAGGAGGGGTCCGAGGACAGAGCCTAGGGGGATTCCAACAGAGAGGGGGAGAGAGGGGGAGGTGGCAGCGTTATAGGCTCTGTTATGCAAAGCCATACAAAGCAGTGTGCAGAAGCTGACAGGGGAGAGATCTGTATTGTGTACATACAGGTCTCTCCCCCGTTGGAAATCCTCAGAGATCGGCGGGTGCTGGTGGGGAATCTCCGGTTTGAACCTGGTGATTGACAGCCGAGGCTGCGAATGTGGGGTGCGGGTTTGGAGTATGCACGCCCTTTACCCAGAGCAGCAAAATCACACACACACACACACACACACACATTATATATATATATATATATACACACACACATACATACAGTATCTCACAGAAGTGAGTACACCACTCACATTTTTGTAAATATTTTATTATATCTTTTCATGTGACAACACTGAAGAAATGACACTTTGCTACAATGTAAAGTAGTGAGTGTACAGCTTGTATAACAGTGTAAATATCATGTACCTGGTGATGGAGGCCAATGGAGAGAGGGCTTCCCTTGCGGCTAACTTCCAGACTACCCTGAGAGTGGGACAGCGGGAGCCAAGCCCAAAGTTGCACAGGTCGCCTGTAGAAGTGCTGGTTGGTGGTCCACTCAGAAGCACAGCTGGTGCACGGAGATAGGTCTGCAGACAGGAGGTGCCTGTGCGTGGTATGCAAGCCCTTCCAGGATTTAGATGTTTGCTGGGTAGTCGGGTCAAGCCAATGTCAGGTACCAGGTGGGAATTAGAGCAGACGTAGTCAGATGTGATAGCTGAGGTCATACACAGAGGAGCGAGAGAGAGTATCCGTAAGCCAAGCCGAGGTCAGATCAGGGGTAAAGCAGAGTAGACAGGTCCAGGAGCAAGCCGAATCAGTATCAGGAAATCACAGGTCACAATCACAGGAAACAGGAACAAGGCACGGGCAGCTAGAGATCATCCAGCAACTTGAGGAAGTGATGAGCCTCCTTATAAAGGCCGTCTGGCACCAAACTAAGGCTGATGCGTGCTTCTGTGGCCATGCAGGGTACTGGCAGAAATGCCAGATCTTCCAGAACTTCTGCCGTGGACAGGACCCTGACAGTAAATTTGCTGTCCCCTCAAAATAACTCAACACAGAACCATTAATGTTTAAACTGCTGGCAACAAAAGTGAGTACACCCCTAAGTGAAAATGTCCAAATTGGGCCCAATTAGCCTTTTTCCCTCCCCGGGGTCATGTGACTCGTTAGTGTTACAAGGTCTCAGGTGTGAATGGGAAGCAGGTGTGTTAAATTTGGTGTTATCACTCTCACTCTCTCATACTGATCACTGGAAGTTCAACATGGCACCTCATGGCAAAGAACTCTCTGAGGATCTGAAAAAAGAATTGTTGCTGTACATAAAGATGGCCTAGGCTATAAGAAGATTGCCAAGACCCAGAAACTGAGCTGCAGCACGGTGGCCAAGACCATACAGTGGTTTAAACGGACAGGTTCCACTCAGAACAGGCCTCGCCATGGTCGACCAAAGGAGTTGAGTGCACTTGCTCAGCGTCATATCCAGAAGTTTTATTTGGGAAATAGACTTATGAGTGCTGCCAGCATTGCTGCAGAGGTTGAAGGGGTGGGGGATCAGCCTGTCAGTGATCAGACCATACGCTGCACACTGCATCAAATTGGTCTGCATGGCTGTCTGCCCAGAAGAAAGTCTCTTCTAAAGATGATGCACAAGAAAGCCCACAAACAGTTTGCCGAAGACAAGCAGACTAAGGACATGGATTACTGGAACCATGTCCTGTGGTCTGATGAGACCAAAATAAACTTATTTGGTTCAGATGGTGTCAAGAGTGTGTTGCAGCAACCAGGTGAGGAGTATAAAGACAAGTGTGTCTTGCCTACAGTCAAGCATGGTGGTGGGAGTGTCATGGTCTGGGGCTTCATGAGTACTGCCGGCACTGGGGAGCTACAGTTCATTGAGGGAACCATGAATGCCAACATGTATTGTGACATACCAAAGCAGAGCATGATCCCCTCCCTTCGGAGACTTGGCCGCAGGGAAGTATTCCAACATGATAACGATCCCAAACACACCTCCAAGATGACCACTGCCTTGCTAAAGAAGCTGAGGGTAAAGGTGATGGACTGGCCAAACATGTCTCCAGACCTAAACCCTATTGAGCATCTGTGGGGCATCCTCAAACAGAAGGTTGAGGAGCGCAAGGTCTCTAACATCCACCAGCTGCGTTATGTCGTCATGGAGGGCTGGAAGAGGACTCCAGTGGCAACCTGTGAAACTTTGGTGAATTCCATGCCCAAGAGGGTTAAGGCAGTAATGGGAAATAATGGTGGCCACACAAAATATTGACACTTTGAGCCCAATCTGGACATTTTCACTTAGCGGTGTACTCACTTTTGTTGCCAGCGGTTTAGACATTAATGTCTGTGTGTTGAGTTATTTTGGAGGGGACAGCAAATTTACACTGTTATACAAGGTGTACACTCACTACTTTACATTGTAGCAAAGTGTAATTTCTTCAGTAAAGGGGGGTGGACTCATGCGCTGCCAAAGATATAAAAATGAAGAAGCTACTGACACCTGACTAGACTAGAATGGATGAAACATAGGTATATATAAAATTATATAATTTATGTATTCACCCATTTAATATCGAGTCATTTCTTCAGTGTTGTCACATGAAAAGATAGAATAAAATATTTACAAAAACGTGAGGGGTGTACGTGATTTTGGGCACCCATGCCAACCTGTTGCAGTATTTCTGCTATAGGGCGGTGCGGAAGCGGTTAATGAGAAAACATTTCAAACAAGTGGGAAGTGCTGGAAGACAATAAAGAACTTTGGTTTTGCATACTGAAATAATTAAACACATTGTATACAATGCAATGCATACATATATGACAGTATCAGTACTACCAAACGTTTACCATTTCCCTTTGAAAGCACCATCTTTTGAAAGATGTCAGAAAATGTCTTAGCTTTCAGAAGCGGAAAGATGAACCATGACCTTATGCTCCTCCAACCTGTCAAAGTACTACAAAGCTTCACCATGATAGTAAAAAAATGTGACATGCATTGCCAGTGCACACCACATTCTCTGAATAAACAAGGTTAAGGCATTCATATCAAGCTCTTGTGTCGGAAGGATTGTGTATTTCCTTTTCTAAGTAAAATATCTTGCGGGAAACAGGATGGATTCGAAGGAAGTTTACTTCCAATGCTTGTGAGATTGTTTGGTTTCTATAATATACAAAAAACTATTTTAGATCTTAAAGCCAGTCAAAAAAATCTATAGTGATAACTTACAGTATAGTGGAAATATAATATGATGTAAAGTAGAGATCCCAAAATTCTTAAAGTATATCTAAATTCATAAATAAAAATTGAACATCTTGCAGCTTACCTTTCCTTAGATATGGTGAGTGATTAGATTTATTTTTTCAAATTCTTTTTTTCCTTCATTTTAACCTGGTGATCCTGCTAGGAGCACGCTTCCTGTCCTACAGTGACAACTGTACTGTATCTAGGAGCAGCAACGCTGTCACCTGAAGACAGGGACTGTGTTAGGGCTATATAACACCTCCCTCTCTCTCCTCTTCATGATAACATAAGGAAAAGTGTTTTTTAGTCTATGGAGAAAGCAGGGAACACTGTTAACAGTCCGCAGATGAAGAGAACACAGGAAGTTATCAGCTCACAAGACTTCTGGCTGGATGAACAGTGGGAAGATTGCTCCTTACATTGGTTGTCAGTGGTAAGAATGTTCCTTACATTGGTGATCAATGCGAAGAATGCTGTTTATGCTGGTGGTCAGTGGGAAGAATGTTGCTTACATTGGTGATCAGTGCGAAGAATGCTCCCTATACTGGTGGTCAGTGGGAAGAATGTTCCTTACATTGGTGATCAATGCGAAGAATGCTGTTTATGCTGGTGGTCAGTGGGAAGAATGTTCCTTACATTGGTGATCAGTGCGAAGAATGCTCCCTATACTGGTGGTCAGTGGGAAGAATGTTCCTTACATTGGTGATCAGTGCGAAGAATGCTCCCTATACTGGTGGTCAGTGGGAAGAATGTTCCTTACATTGGTGATCAATGTGAAGAATGCTCCTTACACTGGTGGTCAGTGGGAAGAATGTTCCTTACATTGGTGATCAGTGCGAAGAATGCTCCTTATACTGGTGGTCAGTGGGAAGAATGTTCCTTACATTGGTGATCAATGTGAAGAATGCTCCTTACACTGGTGGTCAGTGGGAAGAATGTTCCTTACATTGGTGATCAGTGCGAAGAATGCTCCTTATACTGGTGGTCAGTGGGAGGAATGTTCCTTACATTGGTGATCAGTGCGAAGAATGCTCCTTATACTGGTGGTCAGTGGGAAGAATGTTCCTTATATTGGTGATCAATGCGAAAAATGCTGTTTATACTGGTGGTCAGTGGGAAGAATGCTCCCTATACTGGTGGTCAGTGGGAGGAATGTTCTTTACATTAGTGATCAGTGCGAAGAATGCTCCCTATACTGGTGGTCAGTGGGAAGAATGTTCTTTACATTGGTGATCAGTGGGAAGAATATTCCTTACATTGGTGATCTGTGTAAAGAATGCTCCTTATATTGGTGGTCAGTGGGAAGAATGTTCCTTACATTGGTGATCAATGCAAGGAATACTCCTTAAAAAGGTTTTTTACTCTCATTTCTGCTTGTGTTTATGCTACGCCAAGATTTGAATGGAGTTTTAGTGAATCATTGACATGGAGATAGCATACAGTCAGTAAAGTCACACATAGTCCCCCATTCTAAAAGCTTGTTCCAGGTCAGTTTTTCAATAGGTAGGGACTTTAGGATGAGGATTACAGTGTGCAGCTTGCACAAGGCTGAATTGACAGTGCCTTCATTTTTGTTTTCTCAAGTTCAGCCTGTTGTCAGCTGAGTCAGGCTCACATTTTTGCACAAAGAAATTACAATGCAAAAGAGGAAGTGGAGTATTATCATCACACTATTATATGAAATCAAGTAGGCCGGTTGCTGCGTGCAAAGTAATTTCAATAAACTGAGGCAGCCTTTGATATGTGTCAAAATTACACGGCTGATTTGGAAACCTTTGAATATATGAAGAGGCATAAAAAAATCTGAAGTATGGATACGGAGCAAATATTGTTGCTCATAATCCTCTATCTCCATCTAGTTTCCCTACAGACTTAATGCAGGAGCCACACAACTGAATGCAGTGCCAGTGTCTACGCTGTCACTCATTATTATATAGTGCGTATGTGAAATGATCTGAATTAATGCTTACTGACATTGCAGCTACAAACATGGACAATATAGACCTGGGATGCAATCAGTCACTTTTTCAGCTGGTGTATGGTAACACCTGTTTAAAGGGCTCACTATTTTTAGAGTCAGCCAGGAATACATAATGAATACTGATAAGCATAGAGTGCTGTTCTAGTATTTCACTGTTCAACGTATTCATGTTGTTTTCTAGATGGGATTCTAACAACTACTTCCACTTATTTATATATCTTCTAAATTGTAGTAATTTGCTTTAAAAAGATATATGTATTTTGTGTTTAACTTTTCATCCTCAGAAACCCTAGCTAATTCAGAGGAAGGCAAAATACCTAATGCAGTAATAAGCTTTGAATCGACGCTGTACCTAGTTAAAAAAAAAGAAGGAAGCAAGTCCTAAAAAGAAAACGCCAACTTTTCACGCCAGCCATGTTGCTGAACTTTTGCCAAGTAAAAAAAAAAAGTACATCTTCAGCATCAAGCACGTTTTCAGGCATGTGGAGCAATTCATTTTCAAATTTCACAGCTATAACATTTTCACTTTCAAACCTCCAAATTCATTCTAATTTACCAACCCCCCCCCCATAACCTTAATAGAGAACTGCCAACCTGCCACCTTGGATCAATGTAAGCATGCATGTGCCTTACCTTTCCAATTCCCATTGAAGCTGGATATCACTGCAGTAGGCATTGCTACTATAGGGATCCCCACTAGCTTCTAGGTCCCATGGAAGAATTGGAAAGGCAGGGCGGCTGGTTGATGTCAACTATGCAAGAATATACAATTGTGCTAAAAAGTTTGCATACCCTGGGAGAAATTATGAAATTTTGGTATTTATATCCAAAATATGACTGATCATTATTATTACAGGTACTTATATAGTGCCATCAATTTACGTAGCACTTTATGTATATATTGTACATTCACATCAGTCCCTACCCTCAAGGGGCGTACAATCTAAGGTCCCTAACTTACATTCATACATACACATACTAGGGCCAATTTAGACAGGATCCAATTAACCTACAAGCATGTCTTTGGGCTGTGGGTGGAAACCGGAGGAAATCCACGCAGACACAGGGAGAACATGCAAATTCCAGGCAGGTGGTACTGTGGTTGGAATTCTAACCAATGACCCTAGCACTGCCAGGTGGAAGTGCTAATCGTTTAGCCACTGTGATCATGCCAGAAAACTGTCTTTTATTTAAGGACAGTGATCATATGAAGCCATTTATTATCACATAGTTGTCTGTCTTCTTTTGAAATCATAATGATAACAGAAATTACCCAAATGGTCTTAAGGTAGGCAAAATGCGAGCCCACCAACATGGGCTTGTGGCTGCAGTCCCCTAGTAGGCCTCTTTAATTTGGTAATTATAATGTCCACTCCGGTGTGTGGGGGCATTGCCCCTTTAAAAGTTTACCTTACCTGTACAGGTAGAATGTATTGGTGGGATCCTGTCATATGCTGCTTTCAGAGCTTGGGTATAGGGTATAAAAGGCAGCTGGCCTTTGAGAATGTTTGGGAGTACCCGCCCTCCCCCCTTGTAGGAACTTTTATGTGGTTTGTCATCCTTGAATCATGGGGGACCGTTTTGGAGAGTTGTGTAATGTTTTGCTTGAGTCCTATGACTAAACGATAGTTATATTACATTATGTAGTACTTGTTATTTAAAATAAGAATTAATCCATATGAGATATGTTTCATTTTGAAACCAGTTAAGTGCCACAGCCAATTTCTTTGCCATATTTTATTTGTGTGTATTAATTTTAAGTTTAATTTAAGGGGGAGCATGTAGCCTGCACTCCTATGGCCCTGATCAAAAGTTTACATACCCTGGAATGTTTGGCCTTGGTACAGACACATACAGGTTAAATGGCAATTAAAGTTTCATTTCCAACATATGTTGCTTTTTAAATTGCAATTACTGTCTGTATATGAATAGTCAATAAGTTTGTCAGCTCTCACGTGGATGCACTGAGCAGGCTAGAAACTGAGCCACGGGGAGCAGAAAAGAACTGTCAAAAGACCCAGCTGTGTGCGGAGAGCCAGAGCCAGCAGTCAATCACATGTCAGAATTGTATTCTGATGAAATGTTTGGAATCCTTCCAGAGCCTGTAGCAGCTCTGTGAAGTCAGCTGATAGCGGGTGTTAGAGTGATCCAGCTCTACACCGAGAACTGAGTGATCAAAGACCACTGATTGCTCAGTTCTCAGTCTTCAGTGAGCAGAGAGCTGGTGACTGTCAGACACCAGCTCTTTGCTCTGCCTATCCAATGTTCACTAGAGTACTGGGTTGTGCAGGGGGTGGCTGGCTCAGGTTTTCAGGCTGAGTCAGCTGCTAGTCCAGCATCTGGGTGGAACCCGACAATAAAGTTGGTATACATGCAGAGCCAGGATTTGCTCAGTGACGTCAGCAGACAGCAGACTTTATCCCGTTGTCGGCTAAGTACAGAAGTGTAGAGTGAAGTGAACTCTTATGACCCACAAGAAAAGAGGTTTGGCCCTACGTCTCCTTTAAACTTACAGGAAAGGTCTGATTTAGCATGAAGGGAGCAATGATTTGTAGGGTTTTAAAATAGCTCTTGGGAGAAATGTTAAGATTTAGACGTCCTTTTTTGCTCCCTTTAAATACTGTTTCCACCTCATAAATTGCTCTGATTAAGGCGAAAAAGTAGTCAGATCAGCAGAGTACTATTCCTTGAGTTAATTAAAATAAAGCTTCAGCAAAATTAATATGTTAATGTAAAGCATCCTTTTCCCCTGTTAATAGGCTCAGGATTGTGTTCCACATGTCCTTATTTTATAATAAGTGGGAAGATGTGAAGTTTGCTTTTTACATGGCATTATCAACTGTTTGGTTTGGTAAGGCCAGCAGTTATGTACAAACACAGTCACCCTTAGCAACTAAACACAATCCAGCAGTGATACTAACTTCTGTAAACCGGAGGCTGACGGTTTTATAGATTACTGCATTGTACATACCCACATATGGCTGTATGGGGTTATTACAACTGTATTATTTGCCATGTACTAGTTTCTTGTATAGGTTATTATTAGTATGCTCAAGGTGCCCTACTGGGAGTGTTTAGATTCTGAAAGTGAAGTTGAATATTTTTTATGACCCCCAATAAATACATCTAGTGCCAGTACAAACATAATGAAACAAGACAGGAAACATGCACTACTGATAAAGTTGATATTCCTATTCCCCCTGCCTAACAAACTCAAAATGGTCACAAAGAAAAATTGAGGGCTCATTCACATAGTAAATTAGGGCTGGACATTGGATCCCCGCAGCAACAATCAGTGGACTCCTGCAGCTGGAATCAGGTGTATGCAAACAACCGCAGAAGGGAAGCTTCTACAAAGCAATGACAGGCTAATAGGAGCCACGGATGTCCGCCTCTGTTCACATCCACACATTGCTTGGTTACCTGTCGCCCTGGACACAGATCCTGCTTTACACTTCTCCACAACTTTATCCCTGACCTGTCTGGTGTGGACAGATTCTTCCACCTGAGTTGTGGATGTCTGAAGCCCCTCCAGAGTTACCATGGTCTCCTTGGCTGCTTCTCAGATTAATGCTCTCTTAGCCTGGCCTGTCAGTTTAGGTGAACTGTCATGTCTTGGTAGGTTTGCAGCTTTGCTATACGTTTTCCATTTTCAGATGATGGATTGAACAGCACTCTGTGAGATTCAAAGTTTGGGATTTTAATCTGACGCTGCGTTAAACTTATCCACAACTTTATCCCTGATCTATCTGGTGTGTCCCTTGGCTTTCATGATGCTGTTTGT